CCACGCGGCTCACTTCTGGCACCGGGTGGGGGTTCACGAGAAGCCGAAAAGGAAGGGACTTGCTCCTCCTTCCAGGAAAGGAGCCCATGCTCCTTTGACGAAGCTTCCTTCCTCGCAGCAAGTTCTCTCCATCCCTGCCTGGGACGGGCTGAGCCCTGTGTGCTGTGTCCATCACCAGGTGGGGACCACCTCAAGGTTGCCTGCTGCACGTTTAACTTATCGGCGCTTGAAGGACACGGCTGGTGGCCACATGTCACTGTTTACAAGCAGCAGGTGACGGCCGACAGCGGCGGGAGTGTGAATCCATGCCCCCTCCTCTGCTGCCCCATCTGTCTCCGCGTCCGGGTTGGAAGTGCCTGTGTGTCGATGCAGTGGCGAGGACCACAGAGGCGAGATGCTGCTGCTGACAGAAGCACACGTGGGAGCAGGGAGAAAATAACCTCCTTGTGTCTAATGTGGCGGCACGTTTTAAAGGGGGAAACAAGAGCTGATTTAATTGGTGAGCCCCATATGTTGCCCGCACTCCATCTCAGGGCTCTGCAGCGAGGCTGCGGCGCCAGGAGATCAGATGTCGCCGAGCTGTGCTTACACCTGCCCCACCGCCGGCCTGACTCCGGGGCAGCCGGTGTTCATAATTAGCGTCTTCTCTTCCACCGGCTTCACACTGCTCGGCCGTGTGTCTCCGTCCCGGAAAGCACCAGGCCTGAGCCCCTTCCGGGGCGGACGCCTGAGCCCCCTCACCAGATCGCTCAACTTCCGTAACTGGGTGCAGCTCCACCAGCCGTGATGGGCATAGCTCGTGTTTTTATAACTCATACAATATTTCACTTGAATGGCTTTTTTTTTTTTGGTGAAAGAAGGTGGAAAGAAGAAAAAGGAGCACAATGCATTGCAAGCTCACGGGATTAAGCGCATGGTCTTAGTAAACGTGCACACATCCAGGGCAGGGAGAAAAAATGTGGCTGTTACATGCTGGAACCTCCCCCCTTTCTCCAGGCTTAATCTGATTTTTGCCAATTCCTTTTGATCTATCGGGGCAGGCAAGTCAGGTCCACAAGTACAGATGGACTAAATATGGAGATTAGCCCCCTTGCCTCTGCCTCAGCGCCTAATACCTGATTAAGTCTAGAATCGCGCAATTGTCTCCGCGCTGGCTACCGGAGTGGCCGGGCGCAGAAGGGGCCAGGATGAAGGCCGATTTTGTAATGGACACTTATTTTATCCCAGTGCTCTAAGAAGATTAGGCCTGGGGGTGTCACATTAGCCGTGATCTCTGGGCCCCTGGTCGTCTCTGGCAGTTTTCAAACACCTCTCCTCGGCCTTAGAACAAACAGGGAGCCTGGACCCAGCGGCCCCATGGCGGGCATGAATAATTGCCCACTGCAAAGTATTTGAAGATCACAAAGTGCTGTGTAAATTACTCAGTTTGGGCTTTAGTCGGGGTGATTTGTGGTGACTTATTGAATCTTTTCACAGTTCAGAATTAAACTTTCTCCGCTGCTAACTGCAGACGGCGGAGAATGGAAGCTGAGTCTTAACTGACAGGGCTCCCCTTAGATCAGCGTCTGCAGAAGCCCGGAGAAGCTGGCGGTTCTGAGCCTGCCCGGCATCTCAGAGGGTCGGGCGGACGCCTTTCTTAGCCGCTCTGCCAAGTTCTGCCGACTCAGCATGCAACTTAAAATAGCTATTGAAACCAAAAAAAAAAAAAAAGAAGAAGAAGAAGAAGAAAGAAAAAGAAAAAGGGGGAGGCGGGCGGCTTGTTTTGAATCAGCTGCACGTTTCTGGAGTGATCTCTCGGGCAATTTTCTTAACAGCATATCCAATTATTTTTTGTTTGTTTTCAAACATGGTGTATTTCTTTAATTAGTGAGGGCAAACAAGTTAGAAACAGAAAGGAAAAAATAAGTTTAAGAATTCTAGTCAGGGAAATGACGTGATTAAACAACATTCAATTAGAGGAATTAGCGGGGCTGGTGGTTCCCCGTCTGAGTTAATTCCAGGCAAGAGTAACTGACCCAGGGTGTTTCAGCCCAGGTGCCAGCACCACTGATGGCCATTTGAATAGAGAGAGGAGCCGCTTTTGTATTTCAAATACATTTGTTCTGTAGGTTGTTGAAGGTTCTCTGTTAACTGGCGCTTTGCCTGCCCTGGTTCTAGCCAGGAGGCTGCTTGGGAAAATTAATTACTATGTGTTTTTTTCTTTGTGTTTACCTGATCTAAGTTGTGTGTGGTAAATAATAATTATAAAATCAAAAATAAACTCTATGCTGTCAGAAATGATGACGATTTTTAATCTTGCCAAATATTTTGGAAATAACCTAAAACTATAGGTAAAGGGCTTTTAAGGTAGAGAACCCCAGACAGCATTTGTGTGTTTTACTGTTCTTTTGGAAACTTATAGTTCTAACAATCTGTTTTTAAATTATCCAGAAACTTACAATCAGACATCTGAACATATAAATATTCTTAATCACATACCCTTAAGAAAAACATCAAAATTAGAATATGGAAGTGAAAATGTGATTATCTATTTAATGGAAAAGGTTATTACAGTATTTTTATATACTTGTTTATTTTCAGATTTGCTTTTATTATGCTATATTTTTAAAAATAAGTTCTGACTAAGATATTCATAGTAATTAAGATTTTCTGAATTTATTTTTGAAAGCATATTTTAAAAAATCCACCCATCTACAGAGCATCATGTATCTCCCTGATTAGAATAATTTTGTCTTGTTTTTTATTTTTTACCTAATGTTATTACTAACGTGCATTTATCACCTAGTAAAGACCAAGAAAAATTGAGAGGCAAAGCCCAAACATACTGTGCTTTGTTTTAAAATAGGATTAGTAAATGAAAAAAATCAACTCAATTAGTACTGTAAAGGGAGGTAAATTCTGTGATCTTTATTGAAACCAGCCTAGTTAACTATTTGCTATAGCATTTACCTAAATTATGGAAACAAATGCAATGTTTAGAAGGATAAATTTGTCTCAATTTTATACCTGTACATTTTACCACACACAGTGTTGTGTTCTTTGCAGGCTCAAAAAGTCCTGATTGATGTCCAGAACCAAAATAACAAAATATTCTAAACAAAGAGACTCTTACATGGTGGGGTATGACGTGGGAGGATCGTTTTGGTGATGACCGTCTCAGTGTCATTCAGATGTCATCTATCTAAATTTAGACCAGGTGATTTCTTGTAGAAAGATTATATCCTCATAGAAACAATACATATTTTTACATATTTATTTACCACCATTTTCAAGGCATCCCACGAGACATCATGGTGATATATGGGTAAGAAACTTCTAGAAACTTCAGACCTCTGCGGACTGATGGAAGTGCGTGCATGTGTGTGTGTGCAGGAGGAAGGTGAGAAGAGAGCCTGTAACAGTGACAAGCAGGCTTTGCCTTCTCACCTTCACAGTCTGTCCTAAGTGCTTAGACGCCTTGTAACACTGTGAGGGGGGCTATTAGGACCTCCGTCCTACGTGGAGGAAGCTCAGGAGAGGTAGTGGGTCCGCGATGAGACCAGGTAGGAAGTGCGCAGCTGGATGCGAACCACACTGCCTGGCTCCGGAGTCCTTCCCTTCACCTCAGGAGCTGCCTCTTGTCCTGAGAATGATGAGCGAAGGGAGGTGGTCATTCAGAAAGGGGACACATTCCCTTGGGAGCCAGGGAGGTGTCAGCCTTTGTAAAGATAGCAGCTTTTGAGTTGCTCTTTGAAGTATTTTTAGGGATGCAAGTTGGGATGGGTCGTCTCCAGGCAGGGAGAGAGTCTGCCATTTCAATACACCAACACTGGAGGCCTCATTCATTCTGGCTGAACCATAGGGTTGGTGAAGGGCACATCCAGAGATAGAGCTAAAAAGTAGAACTGAGGTCAGATGGCAGAAGAGTTCAAAGGCATTGGAGGCAACCCACCTCCATCCAGCAGACAAGCACAAGTATCTAAAAGACTTCACACGGGTACAGCTTAAAGTCTAGACAAACGGGGTCCACAGGAACAAGTAGTGACGTACATCTAAGTATCTCTGCAGCAGTGATGCCACCAGAGATGGTTGACACTTGGGGATTGTTTTTAAATGATGACACCTCAGTGTAGCTACAGGATGAGCGTAGGCTACCAGGTAATTTACCTTCTGGTGAGTTACAGTGAATCTTCAGTATCCAATTGAAACATAATCTGCCACTTGTCCCACCAGCACCACCCAGCTCCACGTGGCCCCTGGGTCTCGGCTTTCAGGCCAAGCTAGCTCAGGGATCCACTATCCATCCACAGGAAATGTTAAAATATCTTAATGAGTGGGTCATTTGGGAGACTGCTTCCCTGACTCCTCAGAGTCCTCTCGGGGAGTGGAGGGGACTGTAAGGCCCAAGTTCCTGATTCTCGGCAGAAAGGGGCACAGTGCAGGAGCAGTTTGGTTTGGTTGCCAAGGATACCACCAGGCATCTGTAATGCAGAGCACAGGAGGACAAGGCATCAGGGATGGTTTGTCTTGTTGAGTCTAAGTGTGCCTGTGGGACCCAAGCCCTTTAAATTCCATTCATAAGACGTTCCTGTGACTTCCAGTACTTTCTCTAGTGACAATAGAGGGTTGGATGTCATTTCTTCCTACACAGGCAAACTGTGCACGTGGGACCCAGGACCCACATTTTGTCCTGGTGCTTCATTCTACTTCAGTGTCCACTAGCCAGGCATGAGAGACATGCTATGGGTCACCAGGGAGCAGGGCCATGGCAGGTCATTATTACTGGAAAACCTCCAAGTTCATGCTTTCCTGAGGCTGGGGCCCTCATGTGCTCTCCTCACAGCAAGAACAGGATTAGATGCACATAGGACACACTCATGAATTAGTTTTTTCATAGATCAAAACAAGATGATTGATGATTCGATGAACATAAGGAGGTTAAATACCAGGCTGGATAGTCAGACTCCCAGCTTGGGGTCTCAATTTCACTGTTTCATTATGTTGAGACTTTGGGCAGGTTACCTAAGTTTTCTGTACCTCAGTTTCCTTGTCTGTAAATTTGGAATAATAATAGCACCCAGCTCATAAATTTGGTGTGAGTCTTAGTTCCTGGAACAAAATGAATTGTTGTAAACATTAGTATCTGTTAAGCAGCTCCCATGTGTCAAGTTCTGGTACAGATGACATAGAAAAT